GTCTCGTTTGCTTTCTACTATAAGCCTAAATTGACTAATTAATAGAGGCTAATAGGATGTTTGATTGACAAGATTCAAAATTATTCTAGCCCGCTACTAAAGTGAAAGCCCGCCACTAACTCCTACTATCCTCAAAAAGTAATCGCACCTCCCCCCTCTGATTATTTTAGTAGATGCTGAGTATGAGATAGAAAGACAATATTACCCTCGAAATAAATCTCCTCTCGATTAATAGAGAAATCCTGGCTTTTTTTTTCTGAACATCCATTCGGAACAAATTATTTTACCAATCAATAATTGATTGATTTGTTTGTACAGAATTTATAGCTGCTGATGGGGAATTAAGTATTATTTTGTTTGTACTTCTTTTCTTTTGTTTTTGTTTTCGTTTGTCTCTTTTTTTTTCTTTTTTTTTAATTATTTATATATATTTTTTTCTGTTAGTTACAACCATGTTGATATATTGTTTTGTGGAAAGAAGAAGAAAAAGAAAACAATATAACTAGCTAAGTCAGGGGTATTATGGATAAATCATATTTTGTATCAGATTTTAACAAATTTAATCTTAGAACTTAATATAATAAATCAAACATTCTGCTGACTAAATAATTAGTTAGTTACTAGATATTGGAATAATTTAATCCAATCTAGGTTAATCCAATCTTTTCAAGCAAATGGGGCCGAATACTAATACTAATAATAATACTAATACTAATACTAATACTAATACTAATACTAATACTAATACTAATACTAATACTAATATTAATATACTAATACTAATACAAATATTAATTCTAATACTAATACTAATATGTTAATATTGTTAATGTTAATGCTAATTTACATGTACTAATGCTAATACTAATTTTTATGTTAATGCTAATCTGGATATGCTAATGCTAATTATAATTGTAATCCTAATATTTTCCAAATCCTTATCATATTCATAACACTAATCATGATTCTAATCCTAATCATATTCCTTACACTAATCATAAGTCTAATCCTAACTAATAATTTTAATACTAATAATGCTAGTGCTAATGCGCATGCTAATGCTAATGTTAATTCTAATTATAATTTTAATCTTAATTCTAATCATAATCCTAATTCTAATGCTAATCATAATCCTAATACTAATACATGTCACTAATTATAGTACTAATCATAATCATAATCTTAATTGTAATTCTAATACTAATATTAAGCATAATCCTTATCCTAATCCTAATACTAATTCTAATACTATATTAATCCGAATCCTAATCCTAGTTTTAATACTAATACTAATTCAAACAATATTAATTATAATCATAATTCTAATGCTACTACTAATCACAATCTTAATTCTATTTTTGTATCAATGTTTTTTGCAATGATCTATTATTTTGTATAAAAACAATTAGATTCAATCTCGCAACCTTTATATCAACTTCCTTATGTGTGGTAGGTGAAGCATCCACAAACACATATTAAATCTATTAGAAATTAATATTTAATTATATTATGAAACTGACATTAAGATTATTTAATTATAAGGGTATAAGCAAACGTTAAGACATAAAAAGAACAATAATCATTGTTAGTAGGATAAATTATGAAAATCCTCATGAACTTTGGCTAAATTACGGAAAACACCCTTATTTATCGCTAATTACCAAAATTCCCTCATGTTTGTTTCTATCTTACACGACCCCCTTAAGGTGTGATTTTTTATGGAATCTTTTTAATTCCATGTAATATCCCAAAAGAATGTGGATTCTATCCTTGTAGACGTGACATTTCTTTTATCCTACTTTTTAAATACAAAAATTACCCTCAGGGGAGGTAGTTGTAATATTAAAAAGTTGTGAAAGTGTTATTTAAGAAGAATAAATTAAGATTCCGTGTAAAGTCTCCCTTATGGTAATTTTTGTCGCGTGTGCAAAGTTGAATCAGCAATTTTCGGGGAATATTCCAAGTAATTAAAAAAATCCGTGAAAAGTCATACTGTAAGGGGGTTGATGTATGATGAAAACAAACATCGGGAAAATTTTGGTAATTACGAATATGTGTGGGTGTTTTTCTTAAATTAGCCTAAGTTCAGGGGGTTTTCGTAATTTATCCCTGTTAAAGCTTAAATTGATTTACTCGTATGACCATATGTTAGAAACTAACATAAAGGCTGATGCTAATCAAAATAGATCAAATTTCAAGTAAACAAAAGTCATTATAAAATGTTTAATGGAAAAATAAAAATTAATTGATTTTTTGTTTAAATCAGTCGAATGTATTTTGATTTCAAAAAAAGTAGAGATATAGAATCGATATTAGATTCTTATAAACATTGTAAAATAAATAATTTTATTTTATAAGTATTTTAAAAATGTAAATTAACAAAATAAATATATCTTATTATATATGATGGGGAAATAGAAAACTTAAGTATATTTCACTAATTTATGTACGTAACTTGTAAGTTAGACAAAAGCACTCATGTATTCCAATATCAAAATATAGTGAGACATATACGGTGTTAAAATATTTAATAATCAATTATTTACGCTATAATACCCTACATTAGTATTTTTATTTTCCTATGATTTAAAATTTTAATTTTAAAAATTAGTCAGAATATTGTAGCTAAACTTTTTTTTTCCCGTGATAGTATGTCTATATCTTTAACCACACTACAATGGATTGTAGTAAATCTCGTATAATTTCGATATGCTACAAATATCCTACCAAATGAAATGATAACCACTAATTTGATATTTGTTAGATAATTTTTTATTGATATACTATGATACTTGAAATTTGATAACTTTTTCCATCCATAGCAACAATATTGCATCAAACTTTCTCGATTTGGAAAGACACGTACATAATTATGCAATTACTTCTTATATAATTGTAGTCATTTATATAATTAATATATAAATATCTTATTGAGCTTGTAACTAAAAATGGATCGTAGAAACTACTGATTTGCCGATTGATATTGTATTTGTTAATGTAAACTATTTAAAGTAACCACACCTCGAGTGGGGTTATTAAATGGGCTATTAAAACCTTTAACCACAATTTTCATACTAAAAAAATAGTAATTTTAAATCCAATAGAGTTATGAAATAAGGGTTGTATTTTGATATTTCACCTTTCGGAATTTAAGGATACTCCATGCGGAATAAAATATCGAACCTGAGTTATGTATTTAACCTCCTCAGTGTCCATTTAGATTATGACATGTGTCAGTTAGATATATAAATCGATTTAATTATTTTTAATTAACAACCATTTAATACCTATGGTTAGAGCATATTAAATATCACATAAATATTTGCAAAATTATTTTGATACTTTTGAGTTGGAGTTGCTCTAGATATGTACTTAATTAATAATTCATATATTAATGAAATTATTATTTTAACTTCTCTCTGTATGAGAGGCGGGTTTTCTCTCTGTATGAGAGGCGGGTTTACAGCTTTCGAATTCAGGTTTATTCACCAGTTTCGGAACCGTGTTAATTCTCATGACACTTAACATCTTTTGATTTTGGTTTTCTTAATTATTTCCTGCAAATCTGATCGTGTGTTTTCTACCTTTTGTTTGACGTTCTTCTTGTCGTATTTTATTAGATTATTAGGGTTTTATTGAGTTTTCTCGGGTTATCTTTTTATATTTTGTTTGCCGCCCATACTTTCAGATCTTCATTCTGAGTATTCTTCTGCTTGTTTACTTTCGCGTCGGTGGCTCCGGATCTCATCAATCTCTCTCTCTCTCTCTCTCTGATTGGGAAGGGACTCACAAATGGTCTCGAAACAACTTTCAGGTTACGAACGGAGAAGGAAGGAATTACCCTCTCGAGAACTATGAGCTGTATTTTCTGGAATTGTCAAGGGCTTGGGGGCCCCTTGACGATTCATGTGATCGGTGATTTACTCCGAAGGTTCAACCCCAGCTTAGTGTTCCTATCCGAAACGAAAGCAACACAAGTTCTGATAGAAAAATTAAAGAGACGATGGAATCTTTTTGGCTTGGCAGTGGACAAGGTTGGCAAATTCGGCGGGCTAGCACTATTCTGGAAAAAGGAAATACATGTGGACCTTATTAGTTTTTCTTCCCATCATATTGATGTTGAGGTCCGTTCGCAACACGATAATTTGATTTGGAGGTGCACAGGGTTTTATGGCTACCCGGAGCATGAGAACAAACCGAAATCTTGGGATCTGTTGAGAACTCTCCATAGTCACAGGAGTTTGCCGTGGATGATAGGTGGCGACTTTAACGAGATATTAAGCAACTCGGAGAAGGAGGGGGGACTTGCGCGACTGCCCTATCAGATAGAGGCTTTCCGTGAGATCCTTGATGTTTGCAACTTATCGGATATTGGTTACGAGGGTTATCCATTTACGTGGACTAATAAGCGAGAGCATCCTAACACCATCAGAAGTCGGCTAGATCATGCTTGTGCTAACTATGAGTGGATTTCTATTTTCCCGGATGCAAAGGCACTTCACTTACCATTCCCTGGGTCCAATCATATCCCTATAATGGTTGCACTACAAAGAGAACCGCGAGTTAATAAACGCAAACTTTGTAGACCATTTAGATTTGAAGCAATGTGGATTGGACGGGGTGAGTGTGAGGATATTATCCGACAGACGTGGGGAGAGAACGTCACATCCGAGCCTATGGAGGACCTCATTTGGAAGAGGAATGAATGCAGAATAGCCCTCACTAAGTGGAGTAAGTCCACTCTTCAACAACCTCAAAGACAGATTGAGACTTTACATAAGAAAATCCATTACTTGAACAGTGAAATACAAACTGAGGTTGTTCGGGCTGAATTGAGGGCCGTTAGGGAAAACTTGGAGCAGTTATATGAGGAAAACGATATTTATTGGCGTCAAAGGAGCAAAGTTCAATGGATGAAATAAGGAGACCGAAATACAAAGTTTTTTCATGCAAAGGCTTCCTCTCGTAATCGTGTTAATAGAGTAGATCGATTAAAAGATATGAATGGGAACTGGAAGGTGAATGAGGAAGACATCGAAAAAATTATTGCTGAATACTTTGCTCACATTTTCAAGTCTACCAATCCGAGTGAGAGGGAGATTGATGAGGTTTTGGAGCATTTTGAGCCGAGAGTTACGAGCGAAGCGAATCAGATGTTATCCATGCCTTTCACTGCTGATGAGGTAACCCGTGCTATTTCTCAAATGGCCCCTTTAAAATCTCCTGGCCCGGATGGCCTTCCTGTTATCTTTTATACTAAATATTGGCATATCTTAGGGTCTAATGTTATTTCCTGCGTGTTAGAATTTCTTAATAATAAGAGACTCCCTTCTGCCCTTAATTTCACCTACATTGTTCTTATCCCTAAGGTGAAAAAACCGGAAAAAATGACAGAGTATAGACCTATCAGTCTATGCAATGTGATTTATAAATTCGGATCAAAGGCTATTGCTAATCGTCTCAAACCGATTCTTTATGATATTATTTCACCTACCCAATCCGCTTTTGTTCCCAAACGTCTTATCACCGATAATGTTCTCGTTGCTTACGAGATCAATCACTTCATTAAGTCCAACTCTAGTAATCGTAATAATTATATGACAGTCAAGTTAGACATTAGTAAAGCATACGATCGGATTGAATGGTTATTTTTGAGAAAAATTCTTTGTCGTTTATGTTTTTTGCCTGGGTTTGTTGATCTTATTATGTTGTGTATCTCTTCTGTCTCGTACTCATTTCTCTTTAATGGTTCACAATTTGGCTCGCTTCGTCCATCTAGAGGTATTCGGCAAGGCGACCCTTTGTCCCCATATATGTTTATATGTTGTGTAGAAGCTTTAATTACTATGGTTCAGAAGGCAGTCAATGAAGGTAACTTTCATGGAATTAAAATTGCTCCATCAGCTCCCACAATTTCCAATTTGTGTTTCGCGGACGACACTCTTCTGTTTTGTAAAGCTTCTGAAGCCGATGCGATTACTATGAAAAACATTCTTGATCAATACGCAAGGATTTCGGGACAAGAGATTAATTTTGAAAAGACTAATGTGAGTTTTTGTCCAACAACTCCCGCGGCTTTGAAGGAGAGTATTTGCAATATTTTGGGTTTCCAAGTGGTGGATCGACATGAAAGATACTTAGGTATGCCTGTCTCGATGGGAAGAACAAGAAAAGAAATATTTAGTTTTCTTCGAGATCGTATTTGGGCACGTATTAAAGGATGGGGCGAGAAACAACTCTCAAATTCCGGAAAAGAGGTTCTTATTAAGGCTGTTTTGCAAGCAATCCCGTCATATATGATGAGTTGCTTTATGTTACCGGTGGGTCTCATTAATGATCTGGAATCGGCCATCCGAAGATTTTGGTGGGGAAATGGAAATGACAGGAAGATGCCGTGGTTAGCGTGGAATAGAATGTGCATGTCGAAAGCTGATGGTGGTCTTGGATTTCGGGATTTGCGTAGTTTCAATATAGCATTATTAGCCAAACAAACCTGGAGAATTTTAAATTACCCTGACCTTCTATTATCCAAAATTCTGAAAGCTCGTTATTTCTCCAATGGTGAAGTTCTCACGGCTGAATTAGGTTCGCGGCCTTCAACGACTTGGCGGAGTTTAGTTAAGGCACGGTCTCATCTGCTCAAAGGCTTAAGAAAGAGAATTGGTGATGGCTCAAGCACATCTATCTGGGCGGACCCATGGCTCGGTGACGATGGAAATTTCAAAGTTATTACTCGAAGACCTCTGCACTCGTGTTTCCCAGATAGAGTCCAAGATTTAATTGACCAGACTTCAAAGTCGTGGGATATCTCGATTATTAATGAGCAGTTTTGGCCAGTGGATCGAGAACGTATTCTGGCTATACCGATTGGAAGTTCATATGCATCAGACAAATGGATTTGGCACTACACGAAGGACGGAAAATTTACGGTTAAGTCGTGTTATCAACTCGCCCTAGTAACAACACACAACTATCATGCTAATAGGGGTCTAGCGAATGAATCGTCGAGTGGACTATCAAGCAGAAGATGGAGAAACATATGGCATTTGGCACTTCCCCCGAAAATTCGTATGTTTCTTTGGAGGGCCTGTTCTGATATACTCCCCACACAAGCCGAGCTGTTTAGAAGAAAGATTGCCACCTCTCCAATGTGCAACCATTGCGGGAGAGAGTGGGAGACACCTATGCACGTCTTTCTCCGTTGTCGAGGAATGGAAAAAATATGGAAGTCACACCCTTTTGGCATTATAGGGCAGCCAAAACCAGTGTCTATGTGGGATTGGATAATTCAATGGCAGCAACAGTTAACAGAGGATTCCTTTCTCTTGGCGGTCGTCGTAGTGTGGAAAGCTTGGGAGTCAAGAAATCGAGAGATGCATGGAGAGCAAAGGATGGCGACAGACGAGTTTATTAGCTGGGGTCTGACTTTTCTCAATTTGTATCAACAAGCACAACTTCCTCGTACTCCCATACAGCAACGCGCTCATCCAACGGAATGGAAACCGCCTCGAGAAGGAATAATTAAACTGAATTTTGATGCAGCTCTTCCAGCTGGTACAGACCATTATTCGGTGGCTGTGATAGCTCGAGATTGGCAGGGTCACTGTATCATTTGGGCAGCTAGAAGCTTTAGAGGCCGACCAAGGGCAGTCGATTGTGAAGCTCATGCTGCACTATTCGCATTGACTAGAGCCAAAGAGGAAAGTTGGCCATCAATTATTCTGGAAGGAGATTGCCTCAAAGTTGTCGAAGCTCTTCGAGGAGAGGATGCTCAATCATGTTCGTTTGGCGCTTATGTCGAAGATTGCTGGTGTGTGGCTAATTTTTTTGAAAGTTGTGTCTTTAATTTTATTAAACGTTCGGGAAATATTTTAGCTCATCTTATAGCTAAAAATTATGGTGACTCTTGTAACGAAGGTTATAATCTTCCTTCAGATTTGGCAAGGTATGCCTAAATAAAGTTAATTTTTCCTCAAAAAAAAAAAAGATATGTACTTAATTATATCTATCAAAGTTATAGAGAAATACTTATTAGTAGAATAAGGTATATAGTATATACGATCATTGTACATTTAAAAAAAAAACAATTGATATTCTTAATTTTTTGTATTAAATAAAGTGAATAAAGGAATTTAATACCGAAGAATTAGAATAGTATTGTCATATTTCGAAATATATAAAATAAATATATTTTTTATCAATTGATTAAACTTAACTTATGTTCTTCAGTTTATTAGTATAATCATGAGAAAGTTTGTATTTTACTTAGTATAAAATTAAAAAATTAAATCAATTATAAAATTTATTGTGACTGGATTCGGTGAAGATAAAAGAAAAGTTAAAACAATGACACGAAATTCATGTAAAATAATTTTCAATATGATAAATAATTGGATAATATTACTGCACAATGGCAGGAAAAAAAAATAGTGTCAATTTCCGCAATATAGTAAATTCGAACATGTATCTTTCTTTTATACAGATAATGTTAATATATAATATTAAATTAGTACAAAAAAACATATTCTCTGGTTATGTTCATGTAAAATGTATAATATATTAATATCGAATGATTAATTCTGCACATTCTTTTTTTAATATAAATCCGAATTTATTAATTAAAATACAAAATTTTCGTAACATCACCAATCATGCAACAATAAAAAGAGAAGCCCTTAAATTGAATTTAACTAAATTTAAATTAAATTAATTACTATTAAAATTAAATTCAGAAATAAATTTATTTATAGTTTCCAAGAAAGTTGATATATTTAGAGATTTTATAAACGTTAGGATATAAATATATAAATATATTAATAAAATAATAAAATATATTTAATTACCTTTAATTTTGGAAATGATGACATGTTTTTTGATAATTTAATTTCACCAATCAATTTGTGACATGAGATGAAATTGAATGCATGTCATCAATTGAAATTGACAAATATCAATCAATTAGGTGTGGAATTCAACTTTTATATATTATATAGATACTATTTTTTTCATAATCAACTATAAATTATCATCACCAACTACAAAATTGTGGTGTTCAACAATATGTTTACCAAAAATTAAAACGAACTACAAATTATTGATTCAATTAAAAATTATCAAAACCAACTATAGCGGAACCCGAAATTAACTATAAAGTTATCAAAGCAACTATATTGTTGTAAGAGACACGCAACAAAAATCTATATATAATATTAAAAGAGGATCTATGCCCTCAATGATTGACATGTGGCAAATGTTGATGTCATTTATCAAAATTGCTTAGTTGGAGTTCAATTGATGAGGTGGATTCTTCAATTGGTGAGTTGTCAATTTTATCTTGGTATGTATTTAAGTTATATCCTATTTCACACTTGCACACTCATTTAATAATTACCACATATATATATATAATATTTCATGCATTTTAATATTCTATAAATTCGAAAAATATTATATTTTTTATCGTGAAATATGTTTTTCGAATTTCTTATGAATATTCAATTATTTTATATTATACATATATATTTTCGAATTTAGTATCTTTTTTATAATAGAATTCAATTTTTTTTATAAATATACATTAATGTATTTTTTATTCTTTCATATTTAACATTTGCACACTCATTTAAATATTAATACATATACATATTCTTTCATAAATTTTATATTTAAAAAAGTCAAAAAATATTATTTCTTACTTACTTAATTTCGTTAGGTGACCTGCCATACACGACCTGAAATCATAATATTTCGATTTTCTTTTTTGTATTATTTTATTTGAATTTTTAAGTTAAATAGTTATGTTAATAAAATAACAATTTAAATATGCATTTCAATAATTATGAAATTTTTAGTGTATTTGAATAATAAAAAATGTCATTTTTAACATTTTGGAACATTTGAAGAAAATTTGAATAAACTATATTTGAATAATTTATACATTTATATTTTTTCACTGTTAGATTATTCCATTATATATATATATATATATATATATATATATATATATATATATATATATATATATATATATATATATATATATATATATATATATATATATATATATATATATATATATATATATATATATATATATATATATATATATATATATATATATATATATATATATATATATATATATATATATATATATATATATATATATATATAATTATTGTTTTTTATATTATATTCATATATTGAAACATACAATCTGCATCAATGACCGGATTTTTTTACCAACTAAAATTAATGGTTGATGCATATTTTCCATTTTTAATTGGTTATGTTAATGGTAATATTATAATTCAGTCAATTAAAATAAATTGAATAATTAAGGAAAATTGTAATAATAAAGTGAATGATTAATGTTTGATGTGAATATATTATTTATAATAAATTCACACAATGTTTGACTCAATCCACTAATTACGTTTTTTGTTATGTTGCAAATGGAATTACAATCATGTGTTTTTTTTTCTTTAAAAAAATACATATAATATATGAAGATAATATTATATTCACAATTAAGAATTATTATTTTTAATTTTTACCCCAAAATATTTACGTTCACTTTGGCATTTTAATTTATTTTAATTATAAAATATACCTTTTTATCAAAGTTTTCCTTTTCTATATGCATGCAATGTTTATTATACGCAACTCATTTTCCATAGCTAATAATTTACATCCAATTTTAAAATTAAAGAATTTGAATAATTATGTCAATAACCAATATTTACCATATATTACATACACCAATCACGATTTTAGATTGATTTTTAGCATAATAAATCATCAATCAATCCATAAATGTGAGTGATCAATTTCCTAATTAGATTAATATCAATCAATAATATAGTTGCCTAACATATCTAATTCTAAAAAGATCTTCTTACACCACATCTTAAACTCTATAAATACTCTATTGTTTTAACTCATATTTATACATTGCCCGCCCATAACCCACCAGAGATATTTTTGTTTGCATTGTTTTCATATTTTATTATCTTGTTTTTCTCAATCGATTTTTTTTGTTCTTGATGAAAACATTAATTGGATTTCGTTGTTATTTCATTTTTCTTGATATTATTTTTTATTATTATTTGTTGTTATTTTTTTCCATTTCTTCCTCTAATTTGTTTTCCATTTCATTATGTCTTTCTTATTTTTTGTAAAAAAACATATAGTGGTTTGTAACTATTATAATTTTTTTTTATTGTTATTCACTGTGATTTCTTCTTCTTTTTTCTTATGTTATTATTGATATTTTCTTTTCATTGTTATATCATTTTTTTAGTTTTGTTGATGTTCATTTCTCATTGTTAACTGTTAATTTTTTTTTTCATTTCTTCTTTTGCTTTTCAGAATCTCGGCAAGATGTGTGTAACATACGACAAGCTATTAATACTCTACAATGAATTAGTTTACATGGACACCGGTGTATCCAACCAAGAAGATTATTCAATTTAAGAATATAGTAGACAAATTGTGATTCTAAATGTTTATCTATTATATCGAGCTTTGTAGTGGGTTTTCATCTATGTCGGGTTTTGGTAATTTCAAATTATTATGCTTATATCAAGCATTGCAATTTAAACTTTTTATGTCTTATTCAAACTATTTATTTTTTGGCAAACTATTGTAAACATGTAATTATGTAAAGATTTCGACTTAATTTCAAGATAAATTTTTTTGTCAATCACTATTTAATTTTTTTCACTAAAAATATATTATGATATTTAATTTATTTGTTTCATATTTGTGTTTGTTAATGATTACCTAATATATTTACTGTTGATACTCTGTAAAATTTCTTTAATATTATTCTATTAATGATTGAAAACCAAATTAACTTTATATTTTATAAATGAATCTGTAATGATTTATTTTCATGAAAGCTAAATAATATTCAATAATTTATGTAATTTTATATTGTAAATCGTACATCACACACAGTATGACACAATTATGATTAATATTTTAAAAATATAAGTATTGTCTTTAAATTGTTGTTTATGCAAACCAAAGTAGGGCTATATACAAATTTTGATTTCCACATATCCGAATTTAAGTTTTTTATTACGTAAAAAATTGACATATTAACCACTATTTTTTCTCTATCGATTATTTATAATTTTTTTTAATCGAATTGTGTCTATTAACCACTCAAATGATTTTAATATTATTTTGACAATTCACAATGTTTATTTGCATTTATATTATTTAAAGGGATAAAATACAGTTTGCACCCTTAACGTATATGGTTGGTAACATTTACATCCCTAAAGTTGCAAATATAACACTTACCCCCTCCATTTATGAATATATTTTATTATCATATATTTATAAATATTACATAATATACATAATTTAATTTAACATGTAAGGTTAGTTATAGATTTGATTACATGATATTTTGAATTATCATTTTGCACTGGCTAGATAATGTTCATTTAGTTGAAACAATAATTTAACTAAAATCTTAATTGAAAATTGACATTGAGAATTGCACGGGATATTTTTTCAAAAGTGAAAAATACGGGATATTATTTCATAAGTGAAAAAAATAATCAATTTAATACATAATAAGAAAATATAGTATACTAACATAGTAAAATTTAATAATGTAGTATTATTCATATTTTATATAACATTAGTTTTTTTAAATCTGACATATTAAGATTTATAATCCAATATATAGATTAAGATTTAACGAATCGAATTTTTATCTTTATCTCTTAAGATTTGAGAAATATTGAAGAAAAATAGGAGACTGATAATTGTTGAAAATTATAGTTAAAAAATTAGTAGACAAAAAATATTAAAAATAAATAATTACAAAAGTACCATTAGATAGAATTCTTCAGGATTTAGTTTCAATTTTGATAATTGTTAAAAATTATAGTTACAAATTAGTAGAGAAAAAAAATATTAAAAATA